CATATTTGTGGACGCTGATTGTTCCGCTTCAGAGCGCTCACCAGCCCGGCGTGAGATGGTATAATTATACGGCTGTACCACATATCTATTCGGTAGTCTAAAGTATAGCATAAACAAGCGACGACAAACAGTACCCAAAAGGTTGCTACCATGCAGTAAGTGCGCTTTAAAGTTACAATTTGTCTGTATCTTAGCCCCGACAACAGGGCGAGAAGTCTATCCACGCTTATGGCCGCCGTTGTCAACAAAAACACTAAACATAATGTATAGGTTGTTATGTAAGTTGGCATGTATGCGAATCGGCAAAGATACCACTCTTCGTGAACCAAGGACATCCAATAACTGGCAGTGAAAGGCTGGCTAACAATACTAACTAACAGATCAGTTGCTGCCAAACAACGATACAAGACTTTGGACGGCGGATGAAGGGAAGATACTTTGTGAAAGGCAACAAGGATGAGAAAGTTCCCTGAAAGTGCCATGAGCGAGAGGAGAATGTGAACTGCCGTGAAATAAATTGATTGTCCTTGCAATCCACCTGCCAGTGATGGCGAGCAAATCAGGTCTTCAAATGTTTTTGTTTGCCTTTGGAATAGTGTTAAATTTGAGGTCGACATCATCAGTATCTACTTTTCTTTGGATGTAACAGAGATATTTCGCCTTCACGACAACTTCACATCCACTGTGGCTTAAATCTCATCTTTTAATAATGCATATATATACTCAAGCATTTTAAATGGTATCATTTACCCTATTTGAAATGCGCAAACGATCTCAAGAGTCTTTTGTGCCACAGAAAAAATTAAAATTTCCCTATAGCTCGGCATGTGTAATTTGTATTAAGTAACCATACTAAAAGAGAATCAGTTTTTCAGCGAAAAGAGATCCTACGACAATTTATTCTGCCGTTACACCCTGAAAGGTCTCTAGATAGATCCAAGGATGGAAATGTTGTTCAAAAGATTATAAATAATTTAAATATTCCTCCCACGGGAGACATTTTGTGAGCAAATTATCTCTTGTTTCAAGGTGGAATTTTGCTACTGAACAACGCTGTTTGTCTTAGTTACCTGTTTATCAAATTTGTAAACCACATATTGGATATGGCATCGTATAACAAGGAAAAATTTATTCCCCCTGTGACAATTGTTTCAAAATATGTGGTGGAAAAAAATCAATGTACGAGTAAGTAAAACGTTCACTGAAAGCTATTGACAGATTACGAAGTGCTTATGTCAACGCTGTGATCTCGGCGCTTGTCAGAATTATGATGAAATACATGCGGCAAACTGAAAAACAGAGAGGTTGCAGCGCAGATGTGTCTCGATCAGGAAGTAGTTTGAATATTTCGTTTGGATGAATCTATTGTCACCAGTACCATGTTATTAAAGCCAAGGTTTTTTTTGATGTTTTTTTTTCGAACTATCACAGTAGCGTTTATTCTGCAATACGGTTTTGCTATGGAATAAAATATTCAATCATTTCATAAGTGTAAAGCATAAAGCTACAAATATTGTTTGCTTTACAAACTATTAAGGTACGTTAATCTTTTTTGTTGAATCATTATTTGGTTGCAAAACATTAACGTGGTAACGATTAAAGTTGTTATGTAAACGACAGGTGATTGCATTCATTTTGTCAAACTCTCGATTCCTTTTTCGTAATAAG